CCGTCGTGGTGACGGACGAGTAGAAACTGGTCTCTTCGGCCGCCATTTCCGTGGCTTCCGTTTCCTTCCGCGAGTGGTACGCCACCGTCGAGCTCTCCCTCTGCGTCGCCAGTCTGCTCTTCATGGTGGGTCGTCTCCGGACCGACGAGGAGAACACGTTCTCCGGTCTGGCGGTGCTGGGTTTCTGAACGTCGCTGTCGTATTTAGGGCTGCTCGACGTGCCGGATATTCTGCTCCTGTACACGTTGGCGCTTATGGGTCTCCTCTTCGGCACGAAGCGACTCTTCTCCGTGGTGGAGGAAACAACGTCTTCCACAGCTTCCTCCCTCGTCACGGGACTCGGCGTTGTAGACCTGTAGCTAGCTCGCGACATGTACTTGTACCTGCCCGGAGTCTCCCTGTCGCCATTTTGTGGCTGGTACTTAACACTGCTGCCTCTCTGCTTGGTGTGCGGCGCTGTCGTAGAAGAAGCCTCCGTGCTGGACAACCTGCTCTTGTAATCCAGCCTGCTCTTGTAGTCCTTGATGCTGAATCTGGGCCTCGTGGTGTTTCCGTACCGCATAGGTCTGATCTTCACTGACCGGGTCGTCGAGGTGCTAATCTGGGGAGCCTCGGTCGTCGGCGGCTCCGTTGACGTCGTCGTCGAGGCGGTCGTGGTTTCGAAACTCGACACGCTTGTGGATACCGTGGCTCTATCAAAATAATTACCCTCTGTCTTCAGGAACAAATCCTCCAACGGTATATTAGTCACCAGACCAGCATTCTGGTTGTAGCTCTCGCTGTTACCAGCCTCCTCCACGTTCGTTCTTGTTGATTCGGTGTAGTACTCCAGAGGTATGGCCTGCGTGGTGTCCTCGGGTTGGTCGTCCACTTGCAGGAACTTCTGCGAGGTGTAATCGAACTGTTGCCCGGTGGGCTGATTAGTCACGTACTGGTTGTAGTCATAATTTTGTTGGACCGACTGTGTTGGACTGCTGTAGGTGTTCAGCGGAGTGTGCACGACCTCTGTCACGATCTCAGCCTCGAAGGGTTCGCCAGGGTTCACCCTGTTGCGGTGACCAGGTCGCTTTCTGATGTTAGCCTTCTTCTCGGTCACTGACTCCTCATAGGTTGCCTGGGTGGGCTTTGGACGTCTCCTTCGAGTTGTATCTAACTGTTGTCTGGTGTCTGGTTGATGCCTAGTGTCTTGTTGCTGCCTGGTGTCTAACTGCTGTCTAGTATCCAACTGTTGTCTGGTGTCCAACTGTTGTCTGATGTCCACCTGCTGTCTAACGTCCTGCTGTCTAGTATCCACTTGCTGCCTAGTATCTTCAGGCCTATCATACTTGAAGAAGTCTTCAGCCGCAGTCGCAGGCTCCGGAGTGGTGGTAGTCGGACGTCTTCGACGCAAAGGTGCCCCAGGTCTTCGAGTTCTCGGCTTCTGCGTGACAATCGCGGGCGGTGTCGTCGTCTCCAACGCGGCGGTCGTCTGAATAGGCACCTCTTCAGCGTGCAGGGTTACCGGGACAGAGGTCTCCGGAAGTTGGATGGGAGCTTCCGTCGGCGTAGGTTCATATGCAACGGTACTCGGCTTTCTCCGCCTATATTGATCGCGTAGCGGCTTGTGCGGCCTCTGGGGTCGCAAATCTGTTGGAGGCTCTCGATAATTGACCTGTTCCGGTTGATTTCTTAATTGATCCTGATAATGCTGAGTCGGCGACGGGGGACTCGACGGGATCGTGTAATCGGGCTGGGTTACCTGGGGAAGAATTTGTAAATCTTTGATGTGGATGTGACCTTGTCAACATTGAAGGCTTTCCTGGTTTATAATATATGAAATCAGCTGTATCTGGCTTTAGACAAAATAGGAAGCTTAAAGGGGATGTTCATTATGGGTCTCTCCATAAGAAGAAATAAGAAAGCAAAGTTCTTGTGAAGTCAGAAAATCTGATATGGAGATAGGAAAGAAGACCAAGAAATAAGAAGATTAGAGATTTTTTAAATGGAAATTGGTGGGTGGAAGAAGTTGAAGATCAAAGGATTTGAGGATCTGATATGTAAATGGAGATTTTTGACAATATTAAAAAGTTGGGACGTGCAGATATGTAGTGTAGAGGTAGTACGAAAATTGCAAGCTTGTAAAACAGGGTATTGTAAGCCCCAGCAAAATCAAAATCCGCTAATTAGAAGTTTTGATATGTGCAAACATAATGTGCAAACCCCGCCCACGTACCAATCCATACCAAGGCTCGAGTTAAATATGCCCCAAACCCTCCATCCCGAAGTTATCCCTCCCTCTCAAAACTGTCCCTGAAATACAGCCAGCCCGTCCGAAAGCTACCCCATTTATTACCGAACTTTCACGGTGGTCAAACACTTGGCAAAGCCTCCCTGTAAGTACGTACCTGAGACTGTTGAATCTTTGGCAGCTCTCCAAGTCGGGTCTGTTCGGTAATCACCGCGGTCGGATCCGTGGTTACCTTCGGGATTTCGTATTCTGTCAGCTGGATCGAATAAGGAGTCTGCTCCTCCGTGACTTTAGTCAGTTGCTGGGATTGATTCTTCACGGATTCGACAGCCAATCTGGCCTCCTCCTCCTCCTTCTGCTGTTCCAGCAGCTGTCTCAGCTCTTCCTGCCTCTTCTTCAGCTCCTCCTGTTGCTGTTTCTCGATCTCCAGCTGTTGTTGCCTCTCCTGCTCCGCCAGCCTCTGCCTATCCCTTTGCAGCAGTTGTTGCTGAATCAAGTACTGCTGCTCGTTAAAATGCTTCAACGATATGCTCTCCGGGGTCTCGTACTCCGGCTCGCTGTTCTCCGGCCGGATATCAATCGGCAGCACCGACCCGGAGAACTGAGGCGCCTGAGCCTGGGGCTTGATGTACACCACCTTGGGAACCTGAGGAATCTGATTGGAAACCGGCTCCTGATTGAACTTGGACGGAGGATTAACCCTAGGTAGCACTTCGTTAATGTCCGAAGTGTATTTACTCTTCGGCGCTGGCCAGGAGGCAGGCGGAGGTGTCAGGTCCTGATGTTCCGACACGTAATAAGTGTTCCCCACCCCAGCTGTAGGCAGCAGCTCGCTATGACCCACATTATCGACCTGTTTAACCGTGCTACCTTGTCCAGGTCGTTTGTAATCCTGTCCCGAAGTCAGCTCCGCTGATTGCTCGTATTTGTTGCGTTCCCGAGGTGTGGTGGGCGACGGAGTCGAGGAGCTGTACACGTCGGGTGGCAGCAGAGTCTCGTAAGGCAAAGAGGGTCTGAAATTGAAGCCGTTGTAGACGGACGGTGGTGTTATATAACTGATCTCGTGGCTCTCGTGCACTAAGAAGGCTGGGTCCCTCTCGAAGGACGTCTTATAGGGATGAGGCGGATGGTTCACTTGGCTGAAGAAGTTTCCCGTCCCCGCGGGATTGATCAGGTGGTCGTTCGGCGGCTGGAATTTGTCGAAGGGTCGGTCAAAGTCGCTAAGCCGTTTATCCTTGCCGAAGTCGCCGGGCAGCCCGGTGCCAGGTGGCTGGAAGTACGGCTTGGCGTTGTTGTTCACCTTCAGGGACTCGAACGGCTTCACCTGGTACCTTGGAGGCTGAAGCAGCTGGGGCACATACGGCTCCGCGTAGTGTCTGTTCTTCGTGGACGACGTAGGCGGCGCTGGGGTGTTCGTCGTCGACGTATAACTCTTAATAAAATAGGTAGCCGCTTTTATAGGATCGGGCGGCTGGTGGCTCGGAGGACCGAATTGTGGCTGACGCAGGTATGCCGAGTTGTCCCGTAAAATCGGCTTTCTATGGTGGTCCAAGTCGAAGCGGTACGCGTCCTTAGGTGGAGGGATCAGGAACGTGTACTCGCGGGTCTCCGAAGCGATGTGTTTATTCGCGTGACTGTGGCTCGGTATTTCGCCGCGTGCCTTCGCCGCCGAATGACCCAGCACCGTGAAGCTGCCTAGTATACTTGGCGGATTGTAGTCGTGATGGGACGGTTTGCCCTTCCGTTGCGGTTTCAGCTTCTCGGATGACGCCATGTGCTCTTGTAGTTTGCCCATAACGGGGTGCAACGGCCCGTTTCGCTCCAGATTGCTCGAAGGAGAGACGTTTGTGCCGATTGTCTCTTCGTAGCCGTTGGTTAGGGGCCGCCAGCCGTTTGCGATCATTGATGACCGCGTTGGTGACTGAAAAGAAGGCTCGTGAGTTTTGTGGTCAGTTTCGAGGTTCACCTCTGACTATTTTGATAGCTCAGTTACATTTTTAGATGAAATTTTTAGTTAGAATATTTTTAGCTACAACAAAAGAAGGTCTTTCTAATAACTCTCAGTTCTTATTTATACAATGTCGTATACTTTAGGGTGCTCTGTCAAAATGTTGCATAAACTTTGATGTCTTTGTTTGTGTATTCTAATATTTTATCTCCTCATCGTCTCACTGTAACTGTCTCGATCATATAAGGCCAATACGTCATAAGACTACAAGACCTAATCTACATATAAAGTATGTCTCACGACACCGTGTCATCAGGTGTTGCATAACAACCCTATCATAAAAGTTTTGTTTCATCGAAACGTTCTAACCGCCTTCGTCCCCACACGAGTAAATGTACATCGAAGAAAGATAGAGGGATCGGAAAGGTCGTAAAATCGCTCGAGCATGAAAGAATAGGGGCAGACATTGATCGATATTGCAGCTCTAAATAACAAGAAGTATCACCGAACGACGTGACATCAATTGATGGTTGTTTTTTAATGGTTTAATTTACAACTTCGCTTTATCTTAACCGAACTATACCTCTTCTCTGGGCACGGACGTGTTAACTTCGGATATCTTCGACACTATTGATCCGATCCGAAAAAGTTTGGGACAAAAGTTGAAGGGAATGAACTATAAATTCGTGTCATTATTTTTTACTTTGGATATTAAGGTCATTTGAAGGTCAAACTTGATTCTTTTGGTGGAATCATTTTTCTGAACTTATTGATTTTTGTGTGAATGACTTTCCAAAAAATTATGTTATTATCAAATTCAAATATTTATTTTTTAACAAATGCAGTTATTTTTCTATTATTTAATAAATAATTTCAAACATGTAAAGAAGTAAAAATCTGTTTATCTATTTATTGTTTAATGACTGTGTTTATAAATTTAATGTACTCCAGGTACATTTACCTATTTATTTATTTACCGTTTAACAAACACGGATATCTGTTTATCGTTCAATAGTAATTGTCGACGTATAACTCTTAATAAAATAGGTAGCCGCTTTTATAGGATCGGGCGGCTGGTGGCTCGGAGGACCGAATTGTGGCTGACGCAGGTATGCCGAGTTGTCCCGTAAAATCGGCTTTCTATGGTGGTCCAAGTCGAAGCGGTACGCGTCCTTAGGTGGAGGGATCAGGAACGTGTACTCGCGGGTCTCCGAAGCGATGTGTTTATTCGCGTGACTGTGGCTCGGTATTTCGCCGCGTGCCTTCGCCGCCGAATGACCCAGCACCGTGAAGCTGCCTAGTATACTTGGCGGATTGTAGTCGTGATGGGACGGTTTGCCCTTCCGTTGCGGTTTCAGCTTCTCGGATGACGCCATGTGCTCTTGTAGTTTGCCCATAACGGGGTGCAACGGCCCGTTTCGCTCCAGATTGCTCGAAGGAGAGACGTTTGTGCCGATTGTCTCTTCGTAGCCGTTGGTTAGGGGCCGCCAGCCGTTTGCGATCATTGATGACCGCGTTGGTGACTGAAAAGAAGGCTCGTGAGTTTTGTGGTCAGTTTCGAGGTTCACCTCTGACTATTTTGATAGCTCAGTTACATTTTTAGATGAAATTTTTAGTTAGAATATTTTTAGCTACAACAAAAGAAGGTCTTTCTAATAACTCTCAGTTCTTATTTATACAATGTCGTATACTTTAGGGTGCTCTGTCAAAATGTTGCATAAACTTTGATGTCTTTGTTTGTGTATTCTAATATTTTATCTCCTCATCGTCTCACTGTAACTGTCTCGATCATATAAGGCCAATACGTCATAAGACTACAAGACCTAATCTACATATAAAGTATGTCTCACGACACCGTGTCATCAGGTGTTGCATAACAACCCTATCATAAAAGTTTTGTTTCATCGAAACGTTCTAACCGCCTTCGTCCCCACACGAGTAAATGTACATCGAAGAAAGATAGAGGGATCGGAAAGGTCGTAAAATCGCTCGAGCATGAAAGAATAGGGGCAGACATTGATCGATATTGCAGCTCTAAATAACAAGAAGTATCACCGAACGACGTGACATCAATTGATGGTTGTTTTTTAATGGTTTAATTTACAACTTCGCTTTATCTTAACCGAACTATACCTCTTCTCTGGGCACGGACGTGTTAACTTCGGATATCTTCGACACTATTGATCCGATCCGAAAAAGTTTGGGACAAAAGTTGAAGGGAATGAACTATAAATTCGTGTCATTATTTTTTACTTTGGATATTAAGGTCATTTGAAGGTCAAACTTGATTCTTTTGGTGGAATCATTTTTCTGAACTTATTGATTTTTGTGTGAATGACTTTCCAAAAAATTATGTTATTATCAAATTCAAATATTTATTTTTTAACAAATGCAGTTATTTTTCTATTATTTAATAAATAATTTCAAACATGTAAAGAAGTAAAAATCTGTTTATCTATTTATTGTTTAATGACTGTGTTTATAAATTTAATGTACTCCAGGTACATTTACCTATTTATTTATTTACCGTTTAACAAACACGGATATCTGTTTATCGTTCAATAGTAATTGTCTCCGTATTCAAACGCAACGTAAAGAAAAAACAGCTCTATGGGAAACGTATAGCACAAAGAGCAGGAAACGAAAATAGGACAAAAAAAGTGAGTCCTTTGGAAAACAGATGCTGTTTTATCATTCGATGTTTTTCTACCGTCATCAAATGTCTGCGTACAAAACGGAAGTTACAATCGATTCGAGTTGCGTGACTCATTCGTTATACTCTTCGAGATGTTTATGCGAGTTCTGTGAATCGTGGGGATTCGACTTTCTCGAAGGGATACCGAAACGAGGCCTCGTTTTATGAATTCTTGCACTCGAACAGTAGATTTAGGTTGTCTGATATTGCATTAACGAGAAAGTGATGTTGCTTTTCAGGAAATTAAAATCTATCGATAGCGAATCTACTTTTTAACGTCTAGCTTAATTTTTGTTTTCCTTTGGTTATTGTGCCTTGAATTTAAGGAAATTTGTAAAGTAGATTTGGGAATTGGAAAATTGAAAGAATTGTGGAAATTGAGAAATTTGGGAAAAAGTGGAAAAATTGTGAAAATTCGGACAATTGTGAAAATTGAGAAAATTGGGAAAAATTGTGAAAATTAGGACAATTGTGAAAATTGAGAAAATTGGGAAAAATTGAAAAAAATTGAAAAAAAGACAATTGTAAAATTGAGAAAATTGTGAAAAATTGGAAAAATTGTGAAAATTCGGACAATTGTAAAATTGAGAAAATTGTGAAAAATTGGAAAAATTGTGAAAATTCGGACAATTGTAAAATTGAGAAAATTGTGAAAAATTGGAAAAATTGTGAAAATTCGGACAATTGTAAAATTGAGAAAATTGTGAAAAATTGGAAAAATTGTGAAAATTCGGACAATTGTAAAATTGAGAAAATTGTGAAAAATTGGAAAAATTGTGAAAATTCGGACAATTGTAAAATTGAGAAAATTGTGAAAAATTGGAAAAATTGTGAAAATTCGGACAATTGTAAAATTGAGAAAATTGTGAAAAATTGGAAAAATTGTGAAAATTCGGACAATTGTAAAATTGAGAAAATTGTGAAAAATTGGAAAAATTGTGAAAATTCGGACAATTGTAAAATTGAGAAAATTGTGAAAAATTGGAAAAATTGTGAAAATTCGGACAATTGTAAAATTGAGAAAATTGTGAAAAATTGGAAAAATTGTGAAAATTCGGACAATTGTAAAATTGAGAAAATTGTGAAAAATTGGAAAAATTGTGAAAATTCGGACAATTGTAAAATTGAGAAAATTGTGAAAAATTGGAAAAATTGTGAAAATTCGGACAATTGTAAAATTGAGAAAATTGTGAAAAATTGGAAAAATTGTGAAAATTCGGACAATTGTAAAATTGAGAAAATTGTGAAAAATTGGAAAAATTGTGAAAATTCGGACAATTGTAAAATTGAGAAAATTGTGAAAAATTGGAAAAATTGTGAAAATTCGGACAACTGTGAAAATTGAGAAAATTGGGAAAAAATTGGCAAAGCTTTCGAGCATCTTTGATACTATTTTAAGCTAATGCACATGAGACACAAGGGTTGATCGATGTAAACGTTAAGCAAATCTCTCTCCAGGTTTCCTAAATTTTTACCCAATATTTGTCGACCATCGTCGATCAATAACGGCTACCACGATTAAGCTTTTTCTTTTGTAATCAAACTAACCATTACCTCGTTAAATACTATTTTATTTTGCACCGTTAATCTAGTTTGAAAAGTATCATTAACAGTAATATTCCCTTTTGAAATTCTTCGATTTTTATTTGTACGTTTTACTTGTACAACTGAAGTTGCTGAAAGCTTGAACAAGATCATGTTTCATGGCAAAGGATCAGATTTCTGAATGTAGGTCAGAGATTTAGTTTAAACTTTCCGCAGTTATCGTACACTATTGATCTGATAAAAGTTGCGAAGATATTTTTTTGTGACGCTAAATTACTGCGTTACAGAATGTACGTTATTGATGTAATTTGAGATTTGTTGGAAGGTTTGTTTGGTGGGAAAATTTGTTTCATTTGCAATCTAAGGAGTTTCTAATTTTTTTATTTTTTCAGTGTAACAGTTTTACATTTTTCTAATTTTTTAATTTTCCAATTTTTTCAGTTTTCCAATTTTATAGTTTTCTATATTTGTAATTTCCCAATTTCCCATTTCTTCTAATTTTCCGATTTTCCAATTTTTTAAAATGGAAATTTATAATTTTCCATTTTTCTAATTTTCCAATTTTTTAAAATGAAAATTTATAATTTTCCAATTTTCCATTTTTCTAATTTTCCGATTTTCCAATTTTCCAATTTTTTAAAATGGAAATTTATGATTTCCTAATTTTCCATTTTTTTAATTTTCCGATTTTCTCATTTTTTAAAATGGAAATTTACAATTTCCCAATCTTCCATTTTTCTAATTTTCCGATTTTCCAATTTTCCAATTTTTTAAAATGGAAATTTATAATTTCCCAATTTTCCATTTTTCCAATTTTTTCAGTTTTTCATTTTAATAGTTTTCTATATTCATAATTTCCCAATTTTCCATTTTTCTAATTTTCCAATTTTCCATTTTTCTAATTTTCCAATTTTTTAAAATTAAAAATGGAAATTAATTATTAATCTCACAGATAATGAACGATGATTTCTTTTTTAAATGGTAATTATTACTCTTACAAATAATGAATGCTGCTTTTTTAAAATGACAAATAATTATTAATATAATAACTAATGTAAGATGCCTCTGTAAAATGGTAATGTATAATGATTATATTTGACAAGTTATCGACAACTTGATAATTTAACATTGTTCTTTTTACTTACCGGTTTATTATCAGATCGGTCAATCGATACGGTGATCGCATCGATACAGGTGAACAGCCCCATCGCTACGACACCTTCAGTGTAATAGAAAACGTTAATCGTTTTCGTTGATCGATCAAAAATTCCGTGAACGTCGTTAGAAAGTATACTTACAATTCATGATTAGTGCCGACCGCATCGTGACAGACCATGGGATCATTTACGTTCACGTTCTGTAACAAAGTAACATTCCATCATTATTTATAAATTTTGTTATATAAACAAATTATATGTAATCAAATAATTAATAATATTTGCAAGTTTTTCTATTTGTTATACAATCAATGTTAAATGACTTCCAATAATTTGGTCAAATAAATTACTATTATTTTTCAGATTGATAATTTAATTAATTTTATTATGTAGTTTAAAATATTTCTTTTTGTGGTTACTAAAAAATTATTTAGGCATTTTTAGTTATTTATAGAAGTACAACTAAATGCATTTATACAAATTGCCATCAAAATAAAATTGTCGTCATTTTCTTTTTATTTAAAGCTGTAATTTAAAATTGCTTTAAGATCTCAGTTTTTAATAATTTAAACAAACCAAACAATATTAAATTATCAAACTCCTAATTAATCAAAGAATATCAATTACTATACAATAAACAGTAAAAGTTCATCATGTACAAAAATAACAACAGTTAAAAAACACAAACTATGACGACAATTTTTTAATAAAATCACTCGTTTCAACTCCACAGTAATATACGAACTTCAACGAGAATTGAGATAAATACTTTATCAATGCCCGCATTTTTGTCAAAATAACAATTTTCAAAGGTACAATATAGATTTCCAATTCTATTGGAAAATACTTTAATACAGATTATTGAATTCCTATCATTTCTGCATATTCCTTCACATTAATTTCACATCATACATTTCAGATTACGCGAAATAAAATTCAGAAGACGAGATATTAATGGTTCTTGTTCATTTTCTTTATATCCTCAGAAATGTTGTAAATCACTGATAGATATTCATATTTAAAATTTAATTGTAGAATATTCATGAGATGAAACATTAAAACTTAAAGATAAAACATTTTAAAACATTAAACATTTTAGAAACATTTTAAAAGACTTCTTGTATTAATTTTATAGATAAATAATAGAATTTATTTATGAGAAGAATGGTACTTTTTTTTTTAAATTCTTAAAGAAATAAAATATTGAAAATCATTCAAATTTATTTAAATTTATATTTCATGGTACTTAATTGTAAAATACTCAAAGATTCTCATTGAAACATTTTTAAACATTTTCTCCCTAATTTTAAAAATAAATACAAGTACAAATTATTTAAAAAGAAAAAATTACTACATTGTTCAAAAATTGTCAAAGACAAAAATATTTCAAAATATTTCTTGTCCCAATTTTATAAAGAAAGAGCTACTTTTACACAAATTATTTAAAAAGAGAATATTACTACATTGTTCAAAAATCCTCAAAGACAAAAATATTTCAAAATATTTCTTGTCCCAATTTTACAAAGAAAGAGCTACTTTTACACAAATTATTTGAAAAGAGAATAATACTTCTGCATTGTTTAAAAATCCTCAAAGATAAAATATTACACGTTCCACTTTTACGAACAAACAGATAATATATTTTAAAGAGGAAGAGGTTGTTCTCTATTTTATGCACCGATTTCTCTACTTTGTACTTCCTGTGTTAGCCAATACGCTGAACGAATATTTACGTCACAGATCATGTCCACACAGAAATCTTTCCGGATTTGAACAATTTCAAAGGTCGAAGATATCGAGTTGGAAATTTGCGAAAATTACCGGTGCTCGTAAAAAAGAGAAAATTCTTCCGTCTTTCTTCTAATTCTAGTTTCACTGCGTGCTGCTGTGATTCAGAGAAATGACAAAATAGCACCGGAAACGAGGTGAACGATAGTCGACGCTTTCTATGTTTCCTTTCTCTGTTATAGTTTTACAATTGATCTCGAACATGCTAATCTTCATCTAATCTTTAAATCATTGAAATAAAATAAATTACGAAGGTTATTTGTAAAGAACGTCTGAGGTACTTCTCTTCTTTTTTGAGGTTAGGTTAAAATTTCAGAAGTTTTCTTCTTCAGAAGATTTTATTAGATTAACTGATGCTAATGTGGGAGTCTAGCATTTCTGAATTATTTAAACTTTTAACTTTTAAAATTTGTCAATTTATAAATTTAAAAATTCCAAAATTAAAAATCTTAACTTCTGCAAAATTAAATCTGAAAATTCCTAAATAACAAAATCCGTATCTCAGTACAAAAATTTCTAAGTACAAAAATCTTTAAATAAAAGAATTTCTAAGTACAAAAATCTCTAAATAGAAAAATTTCTAAGTATAAAAATCTCTAAATAGAAAAATTTCTAAGTACAAAAATCTTTAAATAAAAAAATTTCTAAGTACAAAAATCTCTAAATAAAAAAATTTCTAAGTACAAAAATCTCTAAATAGAAAAATTTCTAAGTACAAAAATCTCCACAAAAATAATGCAATACATTGCTACAATAATCCAATAAACTGCTACAATAATTAAAAAATTATAAATAATGCAATAGAAAATTTTCTACAAAATTTCTACATAAAATAAACTTTGAACAAAATGCTGTACTATGTGTATCCTGTCTCCAATTTTCGTTTGAAGCGACGATACATCGACCCGTAATTTACCCGCGATCACAGAGTAAAACGATCCTAATTAACCCGATAGTATCTCTATGAACGGCTCATTAATTCTCGTGTAGCGTAACCAAGGGCGTGAGTACGGTGAATAAATTATCGCGATCGAAAAAGAATCTACTTTCTCTCATTAATTTTCTATTCTCGAATTGTCACGTAAGTAGCGATGTCAACCCATAAGGTGGCGCGTGAAGAGGTTGACGTGTGTTGTGGAAGAGCGGCGACACAATTAGGAGGAGGAAAATGGACGCCGCACGTATTTTTGGTGGTGGAATTGGTTTAAGCGGTCACGCATCGATTATTATACTTGTCGAGTTGTAAGCTTTTCGAGTAAGATTTTAAGGTTTCAAAGTTTTAACCTTGCAAGGATGTAACTTTGCAAAGTTTTAGCCTTGTAAGGATGTAACTTTGCAAAGTTTCATCCTTCCAGAGTTCCAACCTTCCAAAGTTCTAATCTTTCAGAGTTCCAACCTTGCAAAGGTTTAACCTTTCAAAGTTTTAACTTGACAAAGACTCAACTTTCCCAGGATTCAATCTTCCAAAGTTCCAACCTTCCCAAGTTCTAACCTTGCAAAGTTTCAACCTTCCAAAGTTCCAGCTTTCCTAGGATTCAACCTTCCAAAGTTCTAACCTTCCAGAGTTCAAACCTTGTAAAGTTCTAACCTTCCCAAATTCCAACCTTGCAAAATTTCAACCTTCCAAAGTTCCAGCTTTCCCAGGATTCAACCTTCCAAAGTTCTAACCTTCCAGAGTTCTAATCTTGCAAAGTTTTAACCTTCTAAAGTTCTATCCTTCCAGAGTTCAAACCTTGTAAAGTTCTAACCTTCCCAAGTTCCAACCTTGCAAAGTTTTCACCTTCCAACGTTCCAATCTTCCAGAGTTCCAACCTTGCAAAGTTTTCACCTTCCAACGTTCCAACCTTCCAGAGTTCTAACCTTGCAAAGTTTTAACCTTCCAAAGTTCTATCCTTCCAGAGTTCCAACCTTGTAAAGTTCTAACCTTCCAAAGTTCCAATCTTGCAAAGTTTTCACCTTCCAAAGTTTTAGCTTTCCCAGGATTCAACCTTCCAAAGTTCTAACCTTCCAGAGTTCAAACCTTGTAAAGTTCTAACCTTCCCAAGTTCCAACCTTGCAAAGTTTTCACCTTCCAACGTTCCAATCTTCCAGAGTTCCAACCTTGCAAAGTTTTCACCTTCCAACGTTCCAACCTTCCAGAGTTCTAACCTTGCAAAGTTTTAACCTTCCAAAGTTCTATCCTTCCAGAGTTCCAACCTTGTAAAGTTCTAACCTTCCAAAGTTCCAACCTTGCAAAGTTTTCACCTTCCAAAGTGTCAACCTTCCAAAGTTCAAACCTAGCAAAGCTTTAATCTTCCTAAGCTCTATCCTTCCAAAGTCCCAATATTGCAATGTTTTCACCTTACAAAGATCCAACCTTCCAAAGTTTAAATCATCCAAATATTGAACCTTCCAAAGTTATTAACTGCTAATATTATAACCTTCCACACCTTTCACCTACCAAATTTTGAACCTTCTCAAATTTCATTTTTCTCAAGTTCCAACCTTCCAAAGTTCTAACATTCCAATGTATTAACCTTGCAAACTTTTGACCATCCAAGGTTCTAATATTCCAAATGCTTAACCTTTCAAAGTTCCAACCCTTCAAAGTTCCAACCTTCCAAAGTTCTAACCTTCTAGAGTTCCACCTTCTGATAGTCCCAACCTTCCAAGCATCCAACCTCGCAAAGTTCCAACCTTCCAAAGTCCCAACCATGCAATGTTTCAACCTTCCAAAGTACTCATCTTCTAAAGTTTGAATCATCCGAAGATTCAATCTTTCAAAGTTCCAACCTTCCACTGTTCCAACTTTCCAAAGTCCCAACCTTCCCTATGTTCCAACCTTCAAAAGTCCCAACCTTGCAAAATTCTAACCTTCCAAAGTCCCCACTTTCCAAAGTTTGAATCACCCAAAGTTTCAACTTTCCAATGTCCCAAAGTTCCTGAATTCCAATTTTTGAAAGTCCTAACCTTTGCACATTTCGATCATTCTAAATTCGATCATTCAACCTTCTTAACTTTCGATCTTCCAAATTCCAATGCTACGAATATTCAAAATTTCTGAAACTAAAGCTCCAAATTTCGAAACGTACATCTTCTCAAAACTTTGAATCACCTTATTCCAAAGCTTCCTAACCTCCAAATGATAGTCGACAAACATCTCAAGAGTGAGTGAGATAGTGCTACATGCATTCAGCAATTGTCATTGTCATTATTATTCTTATTTAGCATTCACTCAGAACTGTGTGCTTGTACTTTTGCCGCCAACGCACGAGTTGACATCTATACATAAGATACCTCCACACTCCCCATCAGGGAACAGGTGAGAAATGTAGAACTGGCTCCGAATCGGCATAGTATTTTTAGAGAGCACACCAGGGTACGCGTTTATATTTAGACATTCCATTAAACCAGCCGACTGTACGATTTTTCA